TATTATATAAAGTCTAAATGCAGGTTACTCCTGCAAACTTAATGTATTGGTGCAAGAATCTGCTTACCATCACAGTAGTAATTTCTGGAAGTCTGAATCACAATCCTTAGGACATGGATTTGAACCTCCTTGTGCGTAAAATACCTCCTGCGATGTCTTTACCAGTTAAGGAGTTCTTCTATGGCTATAAGGATTGGCTTAAGTGAGATCTGGAATTTACTTTCTGCCAGAATTGCCTTTGTGTAATGTTAACAGCACCTGACCTATATTCCAAAATTTTATCAAATCTTAACTAGCAGGGATAGGATGGAAGGGCTTTCAGAGATTGAATGAAAGCACTATGTGCATGCCATCGAACTATTAAGCAGTTCATTAAGGTAAGCATAGAATGAAAATAAAACTGGGTGTGGTGGTACACACCTGTAGTATCAGCACTCTGGGGGGCTGAGGAAGGAGGATCAAAAATTCAAGACTAGCCCCAAGAATTTAGTGACCTATCTTAAAAAGGGCATGGTATGTATCCCAGTGTTAATCCCTATGCTATTTTGTCCTACAAATTGAGCCCAGGGGCTCACGAGTACTGGGAACACTTACCAAGCTATACCTGCCCCTTTTAAATAAGAATTACTATTTTGAGGAAAGGTCTTGAATCAAACCTGAGACCCCACAGCAGAGTAGCTGGAATCACAAGGCTGCACAGCTGGTATGGCCCAGTGACCTTACTAACACCGTGCTGCCCCTTCCCCGCTCGACTCCATTTGACAGCTGGTTTTGCTCCTGACTCACTCATGCCCTTTCATGTCTCAAAGTTCCAGACATGGTCTTTCATTTATAGGACACAGGTGTAAAAAAGACGAAGGCAAAACTATGAAGCAACAGATGGTATGTTGTTTATGCAGGATGAAGTATGGAGTCTTTTGTGAAAGGATTTCCACTACTGCTAGGTTCCCCCACCCCAATTATCCAGTACTACCAAAACAAGTATTACCTGGCAAGCACCAGTTCCCGAGTATAATTCCTGTACCGAAACCAAACCAGACCAAATAGTTACACCATCTTTACACTGGGAGAAAAAGGCTGTAACTGTTTCACAACCTGAAGTATAGCACAAATATTTTCACTTTTTTGTGCCTACAGTGACAGAACTATTAACACTGTTAGTTTCCAGAAAACAATTGTTAATCTTGGCCCTTTCTTGAAGGAGGAAGACGTTGATGTGAGGCCTGCAAAAAAAAGTGAGGCTCCATTTACTCATAAAGTGAATATGAAAGCTAGATTTGAACGGATGGCTAAGGCAAGAGAAGAGGAAGAGCAGAGGAGAATCGAAGAACAGAAGTTACTGCGAATGCAGTTTGAGCAAAAAGAAATTGATGCAGCATTACAGAAGGTACCAGTCCCAGGCTTATTTATCCTCCAAGGATGGTCTTAAAACCATAGTCACAGGACAAATTTTAAATGTTTGAATAGCTCTCAGGTCATCGGAATATTTTCTACTTTGTAGTTAATATGGCCTTCAACATTCTATTACAAAGCCTGTGCTCAGATAACTGATTATTATAAAGCCAACCTGAATGCACTTATTTTTATATAGAAAAGAGATGAAGAGGATGAGGATGAGGAGAGCAGCATCATCAACGGCTCTACTATTGAAGACGAAGAGCAAGGCAGGTCAGGGGCTCCATGGTTCAAGAAGCCTCTGAAAAACACATCAGTCGTAGACAGTGAGCCCATCCGATTAACTGTAAAAGTAATGGGAGACCCCAAGCCAGAAATTACCTGGTTGTTAGAGGGAGAGCTACTACAGGACGGAGAAGACTATCAGTATATTGAACGAGGAGAAACTTACTGCCTCTACTTACCGGAAACTTTCCCAGAAGACGGAGGAGAGTACATGTGTAAAGCAGTCAATAATAAAGGCTCTGCAGCTAGCACCTGTATCCTTACCATTGAAAGTAAGAATCAATCAGTCTTTTAATCTTCTACTCTATTGGTAATGTGTTTCCTTAAAAAATAATTTTTCTTCTTCTCTTTTTAGCTGACGACTACTAGGCTTTCTCTTTCCTCTGGAACGGTCTTTCTCCCCCCAACTTTCTTACTACATCCATCTTTTCTGTGGCTGGGCCAAAAATAGAAACCAGAATCGCCACTAGCTTGATCTAATTCCTTTTCCTAAGTTTTCACACCAGAAGCTCATCTAAAGAACACCTTTTCCAAGTGAGCAGATCTGTCACCGTATTCTGCAGAAGTCAATAAAGTGCATCTAAGGGAGATGGGAAATTTATCCCATTATTTGACAAACTAATAAAAAGTGTACTTTCCAATTTTATATCAATTATATTTTTTAACGTATACATTACTTTGCATGAAAGAATGTCATTTATGAACTTCTACAGCTAAACTATGAACTAGCTAAGGTAATGAAATTGGAAGCTACAGATGAGTGGACTTTTTCACAGTAGTACATAATTTGACTGTGGTACCTTCAGTTCAGTTCTGAAGCAGGTATGTTAAGGGGGGAAAAGTATCATTCTTTTCAGGGGAAATGTAACAGAAACAGCAGGATGTTTAAGAAACTGTCACACAAAATTTGATAGAAACCAGTGTTCTGAATATTTAATATATACTATTCAAATGTGTAATACACAGACTTAAGACAAAATACTTGTGATCTTGTTTGAAAAAAATATATTTTAATGAGAAAATTTTGTATTGATAGTTCATGTAGGATAAAAGATTTTTTAGTATCACTGAAGGTTTTAAGATCTAAGAGGATTAGACTTAGTCATGCAGCCTTCAATTTAAAATCTTCAGTCTTCAAAATAAATTTGTAAATAACCAGCTATCCTCTGAGTTGTTTTATATTTTAATTTTCTGAAAGACAATTTTATTTTAGTGTGAAGCCATAATAAAGCAACTTGTGTACTAAAGGGGAGAAAATGGATCTTTTCTCAAAGCGTTGTGTGATCAAATGCTTATTGGTAATGTATGTACACCTTTAAGGGCAAATATAAGGCAAAACAAACCTTTTACTACATGTATCAAAGACACAAAGTACTCATATAATATTTGTCAATGTACATTTATTTTTTTATTGAGACCATAACGAATACAAAATTACAGCAATCATGTGCCCCTTACATACAATGTCATTAAAGTAAACTCTAAGCCACAGTTGTAAAGTATTCAATTTACCTCAAGTCCAAGCTGCATCTCCCTAAGACACTGTTCCCATCACAGTAGCCATTTTAAGCCAATCTTCTTTTTACACACGGGTAGTTTCTGTAGAGAACACTTTTCTCAGGACGAAAATGCATTGAGCATGCATAAGAAAAGAATATATATATATTCTCAAATACATTTAATAGTTTCTTTAGGGATATTACCAAAGAAATAAAACCCTGGGATTTGCTTTGTAAAAGCACCAATTAAAAAAATCCCTCAAAAGTTTATGTTGTGGTAAGAAGTGACTGATAAATAAAAAGTAAGGTTATTTTCAGAGTCAAAATTATCTTCAGGTATTGTTAAATGCATTTTAAAATGAGGCAGCATTTGAGACAAGAGAACAAAAATAAGACATCCTCACTGATGACTGAATTCTGTATTACTCTAGAGATAACTTTCCAGACAGAATTAGTTCTACTGGCAGAATAGTCAAACAAATAAAATATTACCACTTTTTAATATACTACTTCCTTCTCAAGGTACTCTACTTCTACTCCAATTCACCCTTATTAACTACCAAGATGTTTAAGGATGTATTTTACAGTGCTAATGAACAACTAGCATCAGAATCTCTAGTTTTAACATTAAAACCATTTTCATCAATTAAAAAAAGGTACTTCCTCATTTCTGAAACAAAACACAGAAGTATATCACCACACTAAGATGTCTTTTAAAAAGTTTTCAAATTTTTGCTTAAGTGCTAAATCAAATAAATCAATTTAATTTCAATCTAAACTAAACATTTCTTTTTTTAACCACTCCTAAATATACACTGCATTCAAGTTAACTGGCTCACCTTTTCGGCTTTCCATGCCATGTATTTCAAAGTTAAGATTAGTGCCATTAAAGAAAACAACTCCTACTACCAGTGAAGGCTTATGGTAATGAAATAAAAAACCTTAGGAGACATAATGTCCAAATACCTATCAGCATTCATCTATATTCCTTTATAAAAATGTAAACTACAACTAATCAGAACTTGACAGGTTCAAGGCTGAAAGAGCCCCTCTGTACTGTCAATTTTAACACACCTAGCAATGATCATCAGAACACACAAACACATAAATGTGGTGCAGTAACTATATAACTTAAGAAACGTAACAGTTCATGGAACATTAAAGAGCAAGTGAATAGCTTAAAATGAAAACTGATCAAAAGCAGGTACATTCCACCCTCTACCGTATTATGGGAACACATTTCATAGTTCTCAATGATGACTCGCCAATTTTACCTTCTACGTGAGCCCTTCTATGGTCCATGCTCATCGGCTCACCAATGGCATACACTCAAAGGATTCCTCTTTATGGGTAACTATCTCAGGACCTGATTTTATGAGCTATGATTTGGTGCTTGCAGCATCTTCAGCACTGTGTGTGAAAATGAAGGCAGTATTTTTGAATATTTTCCTTTGTTGTAGAGATAAGCAGGAATTTTAAAAGGATCAGCACATTTTAGAAACTGAATAAACAAAACTGATTTGATGCTGCTTTATACATCCATCTTAAAATATGTACCAGTTAAAATCATCTATAACACACAAACATTTTAAACTGGCAAAAAAAAAAAAAAAAAAAAATGCAGCGTCAGTTATTAAATTATTGTAAGTCAGAAAAATACTGGTTGCTACTTAAGATTATGAAGTTATTTGCTATACAGTTAACATTTCACTGATGCACATGCTTTTTATCAAAACATACTGCCAGTATTCCTTATAATTTTTCCTTTTTCAGCATATAACAGAGTTATCTAAGAAAAATCATTGTAAGATTGACCCATAATGTTCTTACTGAATATAGTCAAGAGTAAGAAAAATGAATCACAGCTTTGGAGGGAAATAAAAGTCCTGTCAATCACATAAACCGACTGTGAAGGCTGTTGACGTTTCTGACCAAAGGATTTCCTACATCTTGAAAACTATGTAACTGTCCTTTCTTAACTGTAACACTTCTATATTTTTGGGAAAATACAAAAAGGTTTGGATATAGTTCAGTTACAGCAGCAATCTACTCATCATTTTCCTGCTTTAATTAAAAATATAATAAAAAAAACATCACCCAGAACAAGTTAACAGACTTTCCACTAAAATGGTAGCATAAATAACAAAATACAATTTGGGGAAGCGGTAGCAGATTGCTTTGAGTACACAACCACAAAAACCTCACAGGGACAACATTAATGTACTGAAATATTTATTTATATATGTCCTTAGGTTGTGCTTACCTGGTGCTTTTTGCAGCAGAACCTAAGGTGGAAGGTCTGGGAAGGCACTGTGAAGTATAAATAATTGCACTGTTTGCAATTAATAAAGATTTTAAACTTTAAATGAATCAAAATCAACAGCCTCCGATTTTTGAGTTATGATACTGAATCTAACTGAACTATTCAGTTTAACTAATAAATGCACCACTTTCCTAAAAAGGTCATCTACATAACAGTATCATGCAAAATACTGAAATCGTTCATGTCAATACCCTACTCTTAAAAGATAGATAACTCCTTAACTATTAAATATCAAACTAGAACTACATATGGAGATCTGAATAAGGGTAAGGGAAGTCACTCTAGGTTACATAAAACAATCAACATTTCAAAATATCTACAATGAACTGTACTGCTATCTTCCACCCTGCAGGTAATTTCAACATTTATGTCCTTGAACATCGTTCCTTTAAAGTATATTCAAAACAATGAATGGTGCTCCCTACCAATGACAAAACTAATATATTACTTATGAAATGGTGTTAAAAGTGCTACATTTGTTTATTTGCAAACAGAAAACCACATCTGCCTTAAACATTTCAAGTTTCTCGTATTAATATATAAGATATGCATATTTTACACTGAAAAACAATATTTTAGGAGCACCAGAATACTATTGAACTTTAATGATCAGTTTTCTTTAGCTATAGCTAAAGCGTATCAAAAATACTTACCCATTAAGCTCACTTTAAAAAAAATACAAAACTATGTATCATTATTCTATGTTATGAAGCAGTTATGGTTTTCCAAGATATCAGCACTGTATTCCAACATAATATTCACACAAAATAGGCATTTGCATTATGTGGAACATTGACAAAGAGATACTGTTGCAGTTCATCCATTTGTCATTCTGATGTACTTACAGTGCAATGCTCCTTGAAGGAACACAATCAAGGATGACACACAGCACAGGCCTCCTCACCCCTACAGAGCTAGTTCTATACTGGCTGGGTCAAACCTGCACTCCAACAGACAATGGCAAGACAGACTGGATTTGCATGTAGTCTAATAGTCATATGCAAGAGCCAACAGATATGCAAAGAGTAAAACAACGGATTTCAACAAATATCAAACTTCAGCATGAGTGTTAAAGAGTAATAAAATGATTTCAAGTACATAAAAAAATTAACTTGATTCAACGACTGGACTTGTGCATTTACAAAACAAAGCTTATCTATACTGCAAAAAGGATAAAAAGAAAAAAGCTTGAACGTTTCCATACCCCAATTATGTTTCAATGGCAGATGCAATTTGTAGCTATATTTTTTGCATGCTATTCACTTTTCTATCCTACATTTAGAAAGAAACACTGATATTATTATTAGATACATTGAAAGAGCTGCTTTAATGAAAAAGAATTCTTATTAGACTATTCAAATTCACTATCTGAAAACTGTTTAAAATCAGTTATGCTGAAACAGTCTTGGAAATCAAGTAATTATCAAATTAAAACAGAAAGGTTAACTGTTATAGCAGCAGTACAGGTCTGAAACAGTGGTCATGTATAAAAGGAAATTTCACTGTTAATGCAATGGAAGTATGCCAAAAGATCATTGTACACACATGCAGTTTTAATCAAACAGAAGGAAAAAAAATGAAGATATCAGGATTACTTGTGCTGAAATAGCCAAATACAACAAATGGAAAAGTCCTTGAATCTACAACTATACTGCAAGGGGGGAAAAACATGCCAGTGTTTAACAACTCAGTAATCCATGGGGAAAGCTTATATATTTGTGTATATGTATCTTAATTTATAATCGCTAAGAAATTATGAATCCTTTAGCCACATATCCAACTTACCGACACAGGAGGTTTCATATCATTTATTGTAAAGCACAAAACAGGCATTTTAAAAGTGAAAGTATACATTGAAAAAGTACATTTATATCACAAAGCATCGACCACATAATAGTTGCAAATACATTTGCTGGAATGTGTACATCTACACTAGGTACTAAAAACAAACCAATTTTCATTTCTACACAGAAATATTAACCTCCTATCAGTAGTGATAGATATTTTGTACAGTTTCAAAAAAAAAACAAAAAAAAAAACACTACTTTAAACCAAAACAAAATTAAGATCTTCATCAAGTCGTCTGCATCCATATATTTAACAAAGGTTTTTTTCCCCCACACAATGAAGCAAATACTGTATTGTCCACTTCTTATTATTGGCCCTGTGCAGAAGAGATACATAAGAAATACACAAAAAGTTAAAGAAAATCCTTTAAATGGAGCTAATTCAGGAGTGAATCCTTTAAGAAAGAAAAACTGGTTAATATAAATGGTGGTGGCTTCTTGCATGATTTGCAAATCCCTGGGGGGAAGAAAATTTATTTTTAAAATCAAAGGCATTATAAAATTATTCAGCACTCAGATGCCAGAAAGCATTATAAAAAACAACCCAAACAACACACCACAATACTTCATATATACTGTGCCAGATGAAAATTTAAAAGGTAAACATATTCCCAAACAGACAAACAGTCAACATGCAGGAAATCAACTAGAGCAGAAAAACGAACAGATTCGCAAGTGTTTTATACCTGAGGTGCTGGCGGATGCTGCGGCATTCCCTGCGGACTGGTCTGGGCATAGTAAGCAGCCTGCTGTCTATAGTACTCGGCCCAGGCTGCACTGTAGTCAGGCTGGCCACCAGGGGGAGCACCGGCAGGCGCAGGGACAGCTTGACCTTGGAGGAAAAAACAGAACTTTGTTGCTGTAACCACAGTAAAAAGCTCCAAAGAATCTCATGTCTAATAAAAGTAATACCTTGCTTCTTGTAATATTCCTCCCAAGCCTTTGAATAATCTTGTATTTGCTCTGGGTGACGTAAATTAAAAATCCCTAATTTTTTTTTTTTTTTTTTACTTCAGTAACAGGGATTGAATTCTGGACCCTGCGCTTGCCAGGCAGGCACTTATTGCCACTGAACTTTCTATCCTCGGCCCTCCCCCTAAATTTTAATACAGTATTTTATCCACTCAAAGTACAGGTCATGACAAAGACAGAGGATCAGAACTGTTCTTGAACTGTCCTTTACCTGAAATACTCGTTTGTGTTACAGAACTACCCTGAACTTTAGAACCCTTTGCTTTGTGTAGACTATAAACTTGAGTTCTAGGGTATTACTATTACTAAAATCAGAACTGCTGCAGTCACACAGCTTTAAAGGAAAGATTCAGGCACAATGCTCAGCTCGGTTCCAGAGTTAGCAAAGTCTACTGTTCTAAGGAAACTCATCTCAAAAGAGTTCCACGTAGTCTGTAAACGCTCAAGACGGCCCCTGGCAGTGATGAGCAGAAGGCACAGGAGGGACAAGCAAACCCTCAATGGGAACGACAAGAGAACCTCTAGGAAAGCAAGGAGGGGGAAAAAGGAAAAGAAAAAAGGCATGACAAGTGAAAACTTGATGTGTCTTAAACCACAAAACAATTCTATTTGACATAAAGAACAAGATCAACCAAGCAGAAAACTCAGCTTCCATAGGTCTTTGTCTAGGCAAGGTGATTTTCCTAAGTTGTGAGACAATAATGGTACAACCACTGAATACCGATGCATAAATACTCAGTTCTGAATTAAAATCAACCTTTACACAAATAATCATGTAAGACATTTTTTAAAAATTTATTTATTTATTTAGTGTGTGTGTGTGTGGGGCAGCTCAGCCCACCAGGGGGTGGGGCTGGCTGGCATGTGGTGCTGGGGATTGAACCGCAGTCCCTGTGCTTTGCTAAGCTTAGCTTGTTCTAAGTAGGTGCTTTAGACCACTGAGCCATCTCACCAGCCCCAAGACATTTTTTGGAAAACTATGAATATTTAAATCTTGTCTCTGTCGGGAGTATTACGGAGTTATTCAGAAAAAACTGTCTGCAGCTTACTCTAACGTGCTTCATAACATAAAGGACTTAACAGTTTTTAAAAATGATGAAGCAGAGGGTTTGCTTTTCTTTTTCAATTTTTGAAGTTATAAAAAAATTAAGGAGAAAAGAAAACATGCTATTCACTTAGTTCCTTCACACAAATGCCTGGCTCTGTGACCTAATTAAACACAATAAAAACAGAACAGACCTACTGGAAGCTACTTTTATGTTTATTTGCCAACAAGACAACTTTATAATTTGAGAAACTAGCCTATCACCATTAGAATACTGGTCACAAAAAAAAAAAAAAGGTCACAGAATTAAAGACACTGAGTGAATGAAAAATTTAGGATTTATGACTATTAACCTTGCAAACTTTTACGCAGTAAGCATAGAGCAAATTTTCATGTACTACAAAAGAAACTATTTTTTTTCCAACAACGCTTCTCAATGAGAAAGTGAGTTTTAACATTTTGGGGAAGGATTTTTTTGGGGGGGTTGCTAATTCAAGCTGCTCTTAAAGGCAGTTCTTGTGAGGCTTGTGGACCTGGGGATGGAACTGCGGCCCTGTGTGTCTTACTGCATTTGCCCAAGTGGCACTTTATACAATTGAGCTATTCAGCAAGTGCTGGCAACATTTTGATTTTATAACAATTTAAGCAAATCTGAAACAAGTTTCAACAGGTGGAAAAACACACAGTAGATCAGAGCCTCCTACACACAACAATCCCCACTTCAGGGGAATGAAAGAAACTGAGCCTCATTTTAAGATGTGTTAATTTTAGAGGCAAAATAACAAAAAAGATGGTAGGACAGATATGTGATGCAAACTCCAGAGTCAATGCTCCCTGAAACACACATGACCACACATTCAAATATGCCCAGGGAAAGTTAAAAGCCAACACCCTGCATCACCAAGGAAAATGTGGGAGTAAGCAGCAGCACATGCTACCTCAATCTTAAAAAGATGTCCACGGTGGGGCTGGGGAGATGGCTCAGTGGAATAAGTGCTTGCCTGGCAAGCGCAAGTGCCTGAGTTCAATCCCTGGCTCAAGGAAAAAAAAAAAAAAAAAAGATGTCCACGGAAAGCTCATGCCAAGACACAGCCTCTTTAACAAATGGCGCTGGGGATACTGGTCATTTATATGCTCTAGAATGATACTATAGATTTATCTCTCACCCTGTATGGAAAAAAAAAAATCAAATCAAAATGGACCAAAGACCTGGGCAGAAGAATCACCTCCCCAAGAGGCAAACAAACTGAATAAAGTTATTTTCCAAAGTTACAAATGGGCAGGGAATATGTGAAAATTATCTAACACCTTAAGCTACTAGGGAGATGTAAATCAAAACTGCTTTTCAAGCTGGAGGGAGAGAGTACAGTGGCATAAGCACTTGTGTGGCAAGCATATCGTCCTGAGTTCAATCCCCAGTACAAACAAAAAAACCAACACCCAACCTACTTTTCAGAAACATTATTTAGCTACAAAAAAAGGGGGAAGATATGTCATTTATCAGAGAAAGGATGAAACTAGAGACCATTATTAAGTGAAATAAGCCATGGTCAGAAAATAATCATGTTCCTCTTATGAGAGGACAGACCCACCCATCCATCATTCCCAGGAAAACAGAAGTTAAGACTTCTAGAGGGAGTTGCAAGGAAGAGAAAGGGAAATGGGATTTAAAACAAACAGGATTTTTTTAAAATTTCTATTTATGTGTGTGTGTGCATGTGTGTGGCCAGCTCAGCCCACCAGGGGGCGGGGCTGGCTGGCATGTGGTGCTGGGGGATTGAACCGCGGTCCCTGTGCTATTGCTAAGCTTGTTCTAAGTAGGTGCTTTAGACCACTGAGCCATCTCACCAGCCCAACAAACAGGATTATGTTAAATGAAACCAATCAACTGAAAAAACAAAGCAAACAAAAAAATCCTACTTTGAGATTTCACCTCACTCTAAATAAAATGGTTCTTAACAAGAATACAAAAATGAGTGCTGGTTATGGTGGTGGGATTCCTATACTGCTGGTTGTAAACTAGGAAAACACTATGGAAATCAGTATGCAGATTACTTAAAAAACTAAAACTAAGCCAGGGATGGTGTGGTATGCCTGTAATTCCAGTGCTTGGGAGGCAAGGGCAGGAGGACTGGCCATTGAGTTTTTGAGTCCAGCCTGGTTGAAATAGCAAGAATCTCTGAAAAAAAAAAAAAATCAAACTGAACTGAACGGAACCAACCAGAGCCAACCCAAACCAACTTAGCCCAGCCCAACCCAACAACAAACTTCCCAAGCACCCCAAAAATCTAAAGTTTTCTACCATTCAATGCAGCTACACCATACCTGGGATAGTCCCAAAAGAAATAAAGACAGCATATTAACAGTGACAAATACTCATATTTACAATAGCAAAGCAGTGTGACATGCCAACAAACAAAGAGAAAATGTGTTACATGTTCAGAATGTAACATTATTTAGCTATAAAGAATGAAACCATGAGTGGCCAGGGAGATGGCTCTGGGAATAAGTGCTTGCCTGGCAAGTGCAGAGGCCTGAGTTCAATCCCCAGTTCCGCCAAAAAAAAAAAAAAAAAAAAAAAAAAAAAAATGAAACCATGAGACTGGGTGTGGCAGAGCACGCCTGTAATCCCAGCGCTTGAGAAGCTGAAAATAGAAGGATCACTAGAGTTTAATGTTCAGTGAGACCCTGTAATTAAAGAAACCATGGACTCACCTGGACACCATCATGTTAAGTGAAAGAAGCTAGATACACAAAGTCAAGGAAAGGGTGTCCAGGGTCTCACTGCATAGGTCGGACTCATAGTGATCCTGTTTACAGCCTCCCAAGTGCTGGGGTTACAGGCCCACGTCACCACACCCTGTCTCAATTGCTGTCTCAGCGTAATCTGGGGGTAGGGCTGGCGCTGCAGGCCTGGGGATTGAACCCCTGGCCCCTGCGCCTGCTTACAGGTGCTTCAATTTGCTATTTGGCTGGCCCACATTTTTTCTTCACATTAAAAATGTTAAGGAAATGAGTGCAAGAGTCAAATGTTGCTGGGAAGATAGCTCAGCAGAATAAGCACTTCCCTGGCAAGTTCAAGGGCCCAAGTCCAATCCCCAGTTCCACAAAAAACAAACAAAAAAGTCATGTTCAAGGGAGGAAAAAGAGGTTGTTTTTAAAACCACCAAAATGGCCTAAGTGTGCATCTACTTCCCAAGCTAAACCTCACTATTGCGCATGACTAATATGCACTAGAGAAAAGTCATTCACCCTTTCACCATCTACACCACTTTTCCAATTCTAATGGCCAAATGTGACTCAGTTTTCCTAGCTGGAAACAGGGATGTCTTTTTGCTTAGCCTCCCAGAGACTTGGCTCTCAATCTCTTACTTCCCTGGCTCTTCCAGGCATGCATGTATCTCTCATTCCTCCTTCCAGTTATTTGACCATCTCTTTTTCCTGGGGTGGGGTGGGGGAAATGTTGAATACCAGACACTGTACTGAGATATATCTCAGCCCATTTTAAAATTCTGAGACATAGGGGCTGGGGAGATGGCTCAGTAGAATAAGCGCTTGCCTGGCAAGCACAAGGGCCTGAGTTCAATCCCTGGTTCCGCCAAAAAATAAAATAAAAAAAAAATTTTAAGAAAAAAATTCTGAGACATGGCTTTGCTAGGCTGGCACGGAATCTGTGATCCTAGCTTCAGCCTCCTGAGTAGCTAGTATTTTGAGGCACACTTCCTCACACCTGGCTAGTTACTGTTCTCATGCCAAAACTGAGCCTCCATTTCAATAGAACATTATCCACTATTTACATATAGCTTACCAATACAGACAATTTTACTTTTATTTCTTCTGATGATAAAAGACCTGCTCTAGACACATAACATTCTAGTATAGCCACTCTGATGGACTGTATGACCATATTCAATTCTCCCCATACACCTGCATCTTTCTTTCCACAAGCCTTCAATTTCTCTTCCTCCAGACTGAAGGTACCAGAGGTCAAGGGCCCCAAGTCTTTCTTATCAGTGCTTAATATTACGAAGACCATCCTGAAGTTGAACTTTTCTCAAAAAGGCTTCATTTTCCCTTCTCCAAAGAGGAACTCTTTTTTTTTCCTGGAAACGTCACTGTCTTATAGGTCTTATGGTAAAGAAGGTTTTTTTTTTTTTTTAAAATTTTAGCTTTAAAAACACCCACTTTCAGAGAACTGCAATTTCTTGTAAGGTTTGAACATTTCCTTTCTTCAACTATTTAGAATTCTACTGATCTATAATAATGTCTCAAGCAAGGTATGGTGGTACATCTGTCATCCCAACACTTAGGAGGCTGGGAAAGATAACACCAAATTTGACTTGGGTACATAGTGAGTTCAAGGCCAGCCAGGAATCTGGAATACATAGTAGTAAGGCCTTGTCTTTAAAAGAAAAAAAAAAAAAAAAAAAAAAAAAAAAAGAATGAACCTAGGAAATTTAAAATTATTTTAGTAGAGGCATATCCACTAGGAACCAACGGCAAATTCATAGTCCACCACTGGAGGTTACTGTTATTAAGTGGAAAAATTGAAGTTAAGATTTTACACATAGGTAAGCGAAGTGATGTGTAATAAGTAGATAATGCCTACACTGTATGGGGGAATTTAGGAAATCTAGAGCTCTAAGCTATACTGACCAGGCCATTGGAGAGAGTCAAGTGGCTCTGGAAATAAGCTTTTAATCTCCCAATGTTATTATTCCTTTTTTTCCCTTCCATTTAACACACCTGAAAAATGAACTATATTAGTTTTACACTTTAAGGTCTCTCATCTGTGGTTATCCCAAGGTCCTGAGGACAAATACCACACCTAGAAGAAATTATATCATTTAAGCACATTACAAAAAAGAACTTCTATAGGAAACGTGCAGCCATCATACTATGAAAAATGTTTATTAAACACTTACCTCACAATAATTCTCTAAGATTTATATGTAAGAGAAAACTCTCCAACCAGTCCACTTTACTCATAAAACTAATAGGTGAAGGCCAGCAAGATAGCTCAGTGGTCTAAAGTGCCTGCTTAAGCAAGCTTAGGCAGGCACAGGGGACCATGATTAGATCCCCAGTACATCTGCTGCCAGGGCCAGCCCTACCTTTAGGGTAGGCTGAGCCCACCAAACAAAACAAAAGAACAACAACAACAAATCTAGCAGGTGATCATTGTATTACAGACAGGAAAGAGCGTGGAGGACAGTCTTCAGTCAAACATTTATTTTCACATTATCTTTTTCATAAAGGATCTAATAAGACATTAAGCAAGTGACCTCAGGTAAGGATTTTAAAGAATAGCTGTCAGGGGAAACAGTTTGCAAAGAAAAAGTAAAAACGTTGACCTTGAATAAAAATTAAAATGCAACAGACCAACTCATTTTAGTCCATGTAAAATGTGAAAGAGCTAGCCAAAATAATTGTTTAAGAAACAAATTGCATAAGAATTCTCACTGCATAAGAAACAAAAGGCTGGGGCTGGAGAGATGGCTCAGTGGTCTAAAGCACCTACTTGGAACAAGCTTGGCAAAACACAGGGACCTAGGTTCGATCCCCCAGCACAACGTGCCGGCCAGCCCCGCCCCCTGGTGGGCTGAGCTGCCCCCCCCACTAAATGTAAAAATAAACAAAAAAAAGTAAAAGAAAAAAAGAAACAAAAGGCTTTAATACACCATAGAACCCAAGTCATCCCACAATAATTACGAGTTCATTAGTAAGCCTTTGTTTTTGCCCAGTTAATAACTACAGAAATATATGGAATATATTTAATATTGTAAAGACACAAATTAGGGCTAATGTATTTTAACCTCAACAAGCTTAATTATAAAAATGATGATGCCATTGTTAATGTTAAGGTAGCTACAGGTCCTGACTACTGTGTCTGTCAGCATCCTTTTTGATAACATCCTTGTTCAAAAGCACTGCAGCTCAGACAATGAATTACATAGACAGCCTAAGTATATTTTCACCTCCAAGGAGATATTTCTACTCACCATTCACTTTTTGACAAAATGGGATTTTAATTTTTTTCCACCTAACTACACTATTTTGTGGTTAAAGTTAAAACATTTTAGAAGGGCTGGCGAGATAGCTCAGAAGCGCAGGGACCAGGGTTTTATCACCAGTACCACATGCCCTACTGGCCCTACTGCGGGGTGTGCTGAGCCAGCCATGGAGACCAGGTGTGGTGGCACACACCTGTAATCCTAGCACTGAGGTGGCTGAAAACAGGAGGATCACTACTATGAGTCTGAGCTGCACAGTGAGACCTTGTATCAAATAAATTAAAACAACAAAAACAAAAATTTTTTTTAGGAATTTAGTGCTGTAGCTAAGCTTGAGAAAAATCAGGTCACAAAAATAATCATTTTGCCACATCAGCAATAAAATGGAGCATGACTTTTCAAGACCATCCTAATAATAAAGCTTTTTTCTTTCTTTAAATAAAAATCAACTTTGCAGAAATCTTTTTTCACAAAGTATAGACTTTTTACACACACACAAAAAGATAATTTTTCTGAAAATTTCTTTTGGTGTAAACTGAGACAGTCTTTGGCAAAGAAAACAGTGAAATTTAGAATCAAGTTTTTTGAGTTTTAGATAAATGTGTTATTTTAAAGTAAGACTAAAAGCATCTGAAAAATTAAGTATCTGAACAGAAATAAATTCTGACAAGTAACAAATATATATCAATAAAATCTGATTAAAAAGCAAGAAGTATCTCCCCAGAAGAATATCAAGTTCCAAAGGTCCTTTGAAACTAAACATTTGGAAGACAGGCCAGGGACTCAAGACTGAGGAATAAAACTGCTCAGTAGTTGTGTGACCTGCTTTCAATCTGAGTGAACTGTTAGCAAAGATGTAGCTCTTAGGACTAGCTATGTCAGAAGTGCTGACTTGAGCCTTTTACAGCTCAGCATATTAATAAGGATTTACTTTTTATACTTTTCTGCTGGATGGTTAAGACCAAGACAAATTAAGACCTATGTAACAAGAAATGTAACTTTTGTATCTGACAAGGTCAGTCAAATCCCCTTGTCAGTGTCAGCCATGTGGATGAATCATGGCCATTGCTTGACTGATTTGCTCTATTGATTGACTGATTGATTGGCAGAATTGGGGAGTGAACTCAGGCCCTTGTGCTTGCCAAGGAAAGGCTTATTCTACTGAGCCATCTCCCCCACCCCCCAATTTGCTCTCTTTGAAAGCCTGAGAGAATGTTTTCTCTTCATGTGACTCTTCTTAGGCACACTCTACATAATCTCTAGATAGCCCACTACTATTATGGACTACTGGACTATATTGGAATATTCTGCTGAATTCACACACATACAGCATTTAAATAACAATGGAATACCCATCTCTGACAAAACTAAACAAAAAAAGGGGGATACAAATGAAGAGCTATTCTGTATCTGTATATACAAAATAATTAGGATAGATATACAGCTACTTTCTCTTAATTCAATGAACAGAAAGATTTGTACTAACAGTGTTTGTGGACAGGATGTCATGTGTGCATCTTGTACTAAGAAGACAATATGCAATGTATTAATTATTGCAACTGTCCTACTAATCGGTTTTGAAACTGTCTCACTGCTGTTTCTCAATGAAATAATTAAAAAAAAAAAAAAAAGATGTAGCTCTTTCCTTGTAGCAGTTTATAGTAACTACCTGCAAGTTACTTAACTGCAACCTCTGGTAGGGCAGTGCTCCTAGGTGTTAAGCCCATAATTACATGGTCAGCATCCATCACCTTGCTAAGCATGCATAAATGTTAATACACTTTTTTGCTTACACTTTACATGTCCCAAAATGAGTACATTAAATTCTTATTTTTATTCAAGGTAGACATTTCTACTTGCCTTCTCATAACATTTTCCCTACCAGTTGTTCTCTAAAATCCTAATCTAAGGGCTCTACTAGGTGATCGATTTTTCTTATCATATGCAGTATTCAAACTTACTAACTATAACTATAAATGATTTCTTGCTTTTTGGGTAGCAAAAGAATTTTTGTTCAGTGCTCTAAAATATAACCTTACATCATTTAGGCTGGCAATACAGTAACTGTCTATACAGAAATGTGGTAATAGTGAATGCCACATAGGCCAATGGCAAACTTTCTACTTTCAAGTAACTGACAAACACATTTCCTTGTAAAACCAAAAAGTTAAGAATTACCATTTGCAATGGGCTTGGTATGTTTTGACAGCCTAGTGATTTTAGAACGTAATCTCAGTTATTGTCCTCAATATTCTAAAAGTTAAATGGACTGATGTCGCCAAATGTCACAGAAACAGTGCAAATATGCTTTTATTAAACTCTCTAAACTTTTAATGTTTATTTACTAACTGCTTCAATTTAAAATAAATACATAAACACACACAGACAACATACCCATTTTCTTGTAGTATTCTTCCCAAGCCTTGGTATAATCAACCTGTCCAGCTGGAGCTGGATTCTGTTGATCTCCTTTTTTTAAGAAAAACAAAACAAGATTAAAGGCTTTTAAAAGGCACCACGGGGGCCTTCCGTTTCTTATCTGTATAGCTAGAGTAGGCTCCTAAGGGTAGTAAGTAGGAGGTAGGTGCTGTATGGTAGTGATGTGCCTGCTGGTGCAAAAGACACTGACAGTAGGGACACAGAAGTCATGAATAGAGAACATGGGTTACACCAAGCTTGTATATCAAAGTCAAATAAGAAAACACATTGAAAATGACAAGTTTTTCACTATAAACAGAAAAAGGGCAAGAAGTTTGTTAAGTTTCCTTTTGTGGTGACATGTTCATACTAGGCAATCATTCTACCACTGAGCCAAACTCCCAGAACAAAGAACTTTTAAAGTGCTACACTGGAACTGCATGAACATAAAGTTTTGAAATTTAGTATACTATATGCATGCCCACACAGCCACATGCACATAGCAGTATATGTAAATAAATTAGGAACTGGAAATTACTATATCCAGCTGCAATGAACATATATACACTTAATTCAGGGTTCTAAACATCACCTTCTGCTAAAAGTTAAGTCAAGAGCCAGGCACACGCCTATAAATCTCATGATTCTGGAAGCCTAATGCAGGAGAACTGCAAGTTGAAGTTCAGCCAGGGCAACTTGGTTACCTGGGAGAATGCTGCCTCAGAGAGCAATAATAAAGGCTGGCGATGTAGTTCAGCAAAAAGGTGCTGGGTTTAATTCCCAGTACGGCCAACAGCAGCAAATTAAAACAAAAATTAACACACAAAGTCCTTAATGTGCCACACAGTTAAGGGACTTCTTAATCAGTAATGAGCATTTCAAAAGGATACAAGAACCATCATGAAGATACTTTTAACTGGTCAAATCTAGGATATTTGATTATTAAAATAATAAATGCTTAAAATACAACATATATAAACAGGTACTCATACTGATACAAAGAACTAAGTAGGATGAACAGGAGAGCTCTTCTATGAAATATTGACTAATAAATGTACAACAAGGGATATGGGAAATCATCACAGTTGTGGTTTAATAAGGCAGGGATTGTATTAATGAAGGCTAAAGCTGATAGGAGCACAAGCTGGCAGTATCTGTCTTAAGTTCCAGAAAACATCTACTGATTTCAAAGAAAAATAGTGGTGTTACTCTCATAGTACAAAACTCCAGCAAATATTAAGATAGCAAAGTGATCGAAGTTACTAACTCCAGGGATGGAATATTAAAATATTTTCTTTTTAAAATTTTATTTGTGGGCTGGTGAGATGGCTCAGTGGTCTAAAGCACCTACTTAGAACAAGCTTAGCAAAGCACAGGGACCGCAGTTCAATCCCCCAACACCACATGCCAGCCCGCCCTGACCCCTGGTGGGCTGAGCTGGCCACACACACAAATCAATCAATCAATCAATCAATCAATCAATGATGGAAATACACTTAAAAAAAAAAAACCCAACATTTTATTTGCATTTATTTTATGCTTAATTTATTCCCGTGCCATAAGTTTTTGCTTCTTCAATTTCTTCTAGGGTATCCTTTTCTTATGTGCAACCATCTCCTCTGGTTCAGGAACAATTTGTTCCTTTTCAGTGAGGATTATCTCAATATATGGCAGGGGGAGCTCATGTATGGATTAACCCGGCCATGAGCTCTATAACTACAGTGGTGCATCTTGGGTGCATTGTTCACATGGATATGCTCAATAACCAGAGAATCTACACCTAAACCCTTAAGTTCAGCATTACTCTGCATTTTTAAGCATGTGCAGCAAAAATTCAGCACTCTTTTTGGGCCGCTTATCCCATGTCCAGCCCCACTGTTTGGCCTGGGCACACCTACCAACTCCACCATTGTAATGCCAGAATGGCACTCATTGCTTCTTTAATGTGACATCCTTAAGATACTTGGCGGCCTTTCAGATACGCATACCCTTGATGGCCTGCGCAGTTTCATGTGTGTTCTTAAAGTGAACACCAAGATTTGAGCCTCTTGATCTGCATGATTTTGAGAGGTTTTTGGGTCAAGCAAACCATTTTCACAGGTTACCTCGGCTGCTCACCGAAACTATACATTTTCTAACTACTAAGAGCATACCATCATTGTTGAGTTTTTCCTGCCAAGCACAATGCTGCACACCTGTAATCCCAGCTGTCGGGGAGGCTGGGGCAGGAAGATCACTTGAGGCCACGGGTTTAAGACAAGCCTGGACAACAATATGAGACTTTCTCAAGAAAAAGGTTGAACAGACCTAAGCTGATAATCATCTAACAAAAAGTTTGCTTTATAACACTGAAGGAAAAAAAAAAAATGTGGAAACTATTCCAGACTGGAATAAACTGACATATAACCAATCTGACAACTAAGTATATGGTACCAGACTGGATCCTAAATCAAGGGCAAAAATACTAACTGGTGAATTATTAACAGTAAAGGTAGAAGTGTTTCCCAGGCCTGCTGTGCCAGCCCCACTCCCAGGGCAGGCTAAGATGGCAATTGAGACTGGGCATGGTGGTGCATGCCTGTAATCCCAGCTATTGGGAGGCTGTTAACAGGCGGATGGATCACTACCAGTCTAATCCAGTAGTAAAACCTTGAACAACCTGTAGACCCTTCTCTAAAACACACACACACACACACACACACAAAAAAAAAAAAAAAAAAAAAAAAAAGGAAAAGAAAAAGGTAGAAGAGTGTTGATAAACTCATGAGGGCTTCCTGATGGCTATATATTTTTTGAAAAAATATACAAGCTTATTCAAGGGTAGCATGGTCTTATGCATACAGTATGGTTTCCAGAGATTATTTTTTGAAATAATGATAATGGTAGACACATACTATCAGTGGTATGAAAGGGGTAGAATGTTAACAGCCAGGCCACCTGGGTCTCCCCAGTAGTAATCCTCATAACTTTTTCATTGCATGCTGGGGCCTCAAACATGCTGGAGCTCTGCTACTAAGCTGAATCCCCAGTCCTGTTCTTACAACTTCTACCAAGTTAGAATGTTATTTCAAAGTAAGTTATTTAAGAAAGGCTGGTTACTGAATGTAGGAAATTCTAGGTATATGGTGATGTACCTTCTATATAATTCTAAACACAAACTCAGGCTTTTGAATAAAAAATAAAAATTTCAGTTACCATAGTTACCTTGCCCGTTCGTTTGGGTTGCTGTGGGTGCGCCTGTAGGAGCTGCAGGTGGTGGTTGTGCTTGTTGTTGATAATAGTGAGCATAATAAGCAGCCCAGGCTGCGGAATTCGGATCTGTTCCTGCCTTGGCTAGAATAAACAAAATTCAATATTTGCATTTGAAGCCTATAATCAATCTCAATCTCTCTCACACACACATAGCTAGCATACAGATCCAAAAATGAGTCATCAAACAAAAAATAGTACATGAAAAGTTCAAATTTCTCTAATATATTCACTGTTATTAATGGCTTTTATTAATACAGAAAACTGAGGTCTGGGCATGGGTTTTCATAGGTTAACAAAACTAGTGAGCAGCACAAGTAGGACAGGAAGAACCTTCAGCAACAAATCTAGTGCTCTGACTCAAACCATCTGGGGGGCACTTTTTTCCTAATGTAATTTACTTAGAGGTTAATCTATGTGAGAAACGATTTCAGAACTATGTACTTTATCTTGAAAAAGTTTAACTATATCTCATCCTATTAACAGAGTAGCCATCCTTCATTGACTTAACTATTCTAATCTTAATGTTACTACTGTACTTGAAATGTATTTTCTACTCTTCGGGATGGTCATAGCCCTTTAGAACAGCATCATCAATGACCTGGGCTTCATGGCTTATCTTTTCTAGTCCAACTCATCTCTTCCTCCTGTTAATGTCATTCCAATACTTAAATTTCAGCCTTAACAACCTGCACTTTCCAGATGTCTAAGGCTGGGCTTTTGAGCATACTCGGTTTCCCCTGCACATAGCACATCTTCATTCAGCCCTCAGAAATCAACTGATATGTGGTCAGCCTGGGACCTCTTGATCAGAAATAGTTTTAAGTTATAACGCAATTCTGTCCTTTAATAGAAATGTTCAATAGCAATAAAAGTGTATCTGTTTGTATCCCCCCCTAAAGTACAGCTTCTCAGCACCAGTTTACAGGTGATCTGCTTAGACTTCATTCTAAGTAGATAGTGCTTAGAATGATTAGATTCTAATCCCAGCTGCTTAAAGATTAGCAAAGTTTCAAAAGGGGTTTGGGGAGCAAAAATATTTCTAGAAAGACAATTACAAAGTGATACCATTAAAGGGTATCTTAAATTACTCCCCAAACCTTTCTCAATTGCTCGATGCACTGCTTTTTTATGTTGGATATATTTACATTAGCAGAATGATATGTATGTTAATAAACATCAGTTATTTCACTGGGTATAATGTCTGTATAGAGAAATTAAGATACAAGGTTGGGGGGGGGGCTTGAACACTGGGGATTGAACCCAGAGAACACTGAGCTCCAGCTTCAGCTCCAGCCCATTTTGTTATTTTGAGACAGTATCATTAAATTGCTCAGGTTGGCCTTAAATGTGTAAGAAGCTGGCAGCTAGAACTGTTAAGCAATACTTAATACTCCTTTATGTTTAAAACTGTGTAAGAAATTCCAGTTACATACAACATCTACAGAGAACTTAGTGAATTTTTTGCCATATAGTATCCATTCACTTATTACTAATGTGTGGAGAAAATCAGTCCAGAAGAATTCAAAAGCTTCCTTGACATCTCTTCACTGAATTATAGGATTGGGAGTAACTGAGGTCTGTTTAAGATCTGAATTCTCAACCACTGTCCAATAGGATCATAAATTTTTTTTCAAAGACAGATCCCAGAGACTCAGTACCCAAACAGTGCTCACAAATGCAATCCAGAAGTATCTGAGTTACCCAATATAAATTCACCTCTTAATCTGGCTGCCCAAAGCTGTCCCACACTTTGTTAAATTGTATCATCCCAATTAACTTATAAATGGGAAACAAGGGCCTTTTCACTCTTTAAATGTAGTTATAAATTGTTACAGAGCAAATATTTGATGCTTTGTACTACTCGCACTAGAAATGCAGTTTTGCTATAAAACATGGACTTATCAGTGTATGTCTACGTGTTAATACAACTCATGTTATTTCTTTAATGAATGGACACTGGCTGCTGGTGATATCCTCTTTGGTCATCACACAGTGCATACTTTCCATGGAAGTAAATTATTTTAGATCATAGTTAAATACCACAATCTAAAACAAATTCAAATTTAAAACAATTTCATATAAATCAACTATTTGGGTTAGCTTTAAAACATTATAGGGGCTGGGGAGATGGCTCAGTAGAATAAGCGCTTGCCTGAGTTCAACCCCCGGTTCCGCCAAACAAACAAACAAACAAACAAACAAACAACAACCAAAAATTATACATGGACAGTAATTGCTAACTCTGAACAGCAGGCTTTTTTTTTTTTGGTGGAACTGGGGATTGAACTTAGGCCCTCTCCACTTATTCTACTGAGCTATCTCCCCAGCCTCTGAATAGCTTCTTTGAAATGACTCCAGTGAAAGAGGACTCAAAAGGTAGACTGGTAAAGCTGATTTCAAAGAATGCATTTTGACAAAGATGGGAAAAACAACTAGAGGGACTGGGAAGATAACAGAATGTTATTTTGTACATAAAAGATTCCAACTTCAATACAGAAAAGTTAATTAAATGTATTTTAGAGTTCTAGTATGCAATTATTACATATGAAATAATTTAATGCATAAAGTTTCCTTACCAAAACCACTAAAAGTTTGTATCTTACTTAAAAACTTAAGGAGTTTAATAGCTAAGAATTTAACATTGTTAGACACTGAAGTTATTTTATTAAAAAGGTATTATAAACTATGCTTCCATGTGTAATGTCACCTTTAACAATTTATTTGCCAAGCACTGTTAGCTAAAACATAAGACACTGTACTTCTGTAGTTTTTGGCACTTTGGTATATCAGTGTTGAAGTAGGGAATGCTGGAGAACACTTTCACAAATCAAAGAGTTCATGTCTGTATGTTGTAGAAGCAGTTCCCAACACTACTGAAAGAGTAGAGAATGTAGACTATGCATAAAACATGGAAACTCAACAAGAAGAAATTTATAATGTACCGGGGTGGCAGATAAACAACAGAAAGATGTGCAAATGTTAGGAAACTTTACCTGGATCAGGAGGAGCCTGCTGCTGCCAATGTGGATATGCATTTCCCCAGCCCTGGGGAGCATATGGGGCTGGAGGACCACTGGGGGGAAAATATCAGTATTAAAAACAAGTATTTACCACAAGCTATCTTTGTTGAAAACCCCAGAAACCAAACCCAAGAACTTACTGAGGAGCTGGGCCAGGTGGTCCTGGGTTATAAGGTGCAGGATTATATGGTCCCATTGGAGTTCCAGGCCCTGGAGGCCCAGGAGGTCCATGGGGACCTGGGACACCATGGGGCCCATGGGGAACAGGTGGCCCTAAAGGATTTACTGGGCCCTGTAAGAAAAGCAAGATAATACACACACACACACATCAATTTTGTTCAAACAATTCAAAGGGCAAATAATCTTCCATTTTACCCTTTTATAGTCACAATAACAAAGTTTAGATTTTTCTTATGTTGTAAAATGAACTTAACTGCCAGAGACATGAAAGATTAAAGAAAAATTGATATGCCTCCTGTTTTATACTACTATAATTTTCATATTTATCATTTCTTTATCATTTTAATCATGGAAGACTATCAGAATCAGGTCTTGTTCACTAGCTCTTCTTTCCATCCACTCTTCTACAGAAACGCAATCATCTTGATGAGATTATCCCCAAAATGTTTACGTCCTATGTTGTGAACTGTCTAGATGGCATGTCATCTGCAATGTTACAACTAGTTCTTAAGCTGTAGCCTGCTACCTCACAATCTTTCTATATCTTTTCCTGGAAGCCCATTTAGATCAATTTACATACTGCTTTTTATCAGTTTTGTAAGCACCACCACAGAACTGATACAACACAACAGGACATCTTATATCCTTATCATGCTACACTGCAATGAACATTTAGGTGGCTCTTCTGGTTAAGTGCTATGGTTTGTGTACAGGTGTTTCCCCAAAGCCTCATGTAGCTTCTGGAGTTTGTGATTGATTACTGTGGGTGTGGATACTGCACCTGTCCTGGGGTAGGTAATTTGCATTACAGTGTAAGGAAGGGAGAGAAGTTAGCTGCTTGAGCTGCTGCTACTACTCCTTTTGTGCTCTTGCTCTTTGCCACCTCCAAGAAAGGTTGTTCTCTGCCATGTGCCAAGCTGCCTTGCAGCCAGCTGAGTATGGACTGAAACCTCCAGTAAATGAGCTAAGTAAACCTTTCTTTCCTTCATTTTGGGCGTTGGGTATGTGGTCCAGCAACAAGAGTAACTAAGACAGTAAGCCAACCTGCAAAAACCAGTAGAGGCAGCTGTTCTTTTTAGAAACTCTTTTCTTGTGATATTAACTGGTTTCATTAAAATTTCAATTGCTGCCATCTTTTCTTTTTTACTACTCACAGCATATTCTTCTACACAGATAAACATTTTCTTACTTTTAAAAGTAGAAACATTAACATTCATTTAATCGCCACTCTAGGAAGTAGATATTGTTCTCAAGTAACTTCCCCAAGGCCAGTCTTTCACACCCCTCTACTTAACCTTAACACCACATCTGCAGTCAGCATGACCAGCTCTTACCTACACACACTCAAACAACACAGTTCTCTCCACTTCTAACTCCATACTAAACCAGGGTATTTTTACTGCTAGACATCTTTCCTGCGTTGTATGTATCTATTGTGTCGTGAAACCCATAATTTCTGACTAGAAATGACTATGGTGTATCTGAACTAAAGCCTTATTTAAGTAGGAGGGCTTATACTATCAACTAAGATATTTAAAGCATACTCACACCAATCTTTTCTTCTATGAGTTGCCGAGCATAGTCTATTTGTTGAGGAGTGCCACGAATTGTAAATAATTTCATGTTAGGATCTGCATTGGGTGGAGGATTCCTCTGAAGTTCTATTCTGGCACCAGATTGTTGGCTTATACTTTTTATGGTCTCACCCCCTAAAAGAAAGAAGTCATTTCCATTCAAAATTCAAAGGATCCAAGATATACTATCCAAAAGAAAAGAGTCATAATGGGCCATTAAAATAGTATTTTTTGGCCAGGTCCTGACAATACTCTATTATAGTTTTTTACATTCAAAACTTCAAATTACATGGAAGTCATAATTCTTTTAAAATACATTAAAGTTTACTTAATGCTATACACAGCTCTATATGGACAACTTACAAAAATAGTTTTGGCAAACAATGTCAAAAACTACCATTTTTAAACATGAAAAAATTTAAAAAAACCCGTGATTCAGGAAAATGCGTAATAGTCAGGTGTAGGGGAACACATGTGACCCCAGCACTCACTCAGGAAGCTGAGGCAGGACAAACATTAAGTTTGAACCAGCCTAGGCAGCTTGGAGACACCATATATTAAGGGCTACAGATAGACTCTTAACACAAAGGCCCTGAGTTCATTCCCCATTAACACATCCCTCCAAAAGAAAATAACAAACCCTTATTTTTTGAGTCAACACTAACAGTAACTATTAATTCTTGGTCCCCTTTCTCAAGGATCCAGTAATATTCAAATCTTACTCTTTTACTTCATTTATCTTAGTTTTCACATATCAGATACATAAACTGTCTCGAGCCGGCCAGACAGCTCCACAGACTAAAGCGCCTGCTTCAGCAGAGTATAGTAGCTGGGATTCCATCCCTGGCCCTGGCCCTGGGGTGCGCTGAGATGGAGATTGAGACTAGGCCAACTCAGCCTTTTTGGGAGGCTGAACACAGGTGGATCACTGGACTCTGATCTATGCAGTGAGACCCTGAAGACCCTTACTAAAAAATGCAAAAACAACAAAAAAAACTACCACTTGTTTAGAACACCAACAGAAATTAAGTGTCCAGAAAAATTAAGTACTGTGTTAAACATTAGAAGTTTAAAATACAAGCCAAGGTGCCAGAGAGATGGTTCAGTAGAATAAGTGCTTGCCTGGCAAGCGCAAGGGCCTGAGTTCAATCCCCAGTTTGGCCAAAAATAAAATATATGCCAGGTATGGCTGTGCACACCTGTTATCCAAACATCCTGAGCAGGACTGCCCAAGTTTCAGGGCACCTTGGGCTATGCACTGAGTTCAAGGCCAGCCTGATCTACACAAGACCTTGAGCCTGATCTACACAAGACCTTGTCTCAAAGAGAAACACCCCCCCCCCGAAAAGTTCAAAAAATACTTTGCCTTTTCCTATTATTAATCCAGTCTTCCCAGTTGGCACAATGAAATTAAATTCCTGTAGTCCACCTGGTGGTCCCATGTTCCAGTTGCCTTGACCTCTACCTCTTCCTCGACCCCCAGGTCCAGGTCCACCAGGATTACCAGCCTAAGGAAGGAAAAGACAAATAAGTTTGTACAGAAATCAACTCTTCTTTCCATGATAAAATTAACGCCTACTTCCAGTCAGGAGGCTGAGGCAAAAGGATTATTGCTATGTCTGAGGGCAGCCTGGTCAACATCGTGAGCTCAAGCCCAGGCAGAACTACATACTGAAGCAATTCTTTGTCTCAAAAAGGAAAAAAGTATTTTTTTTAACTCTTTATAAACCTGAACTAGAAATTTAGAGAAACTTCAGAAATTACTTAATGAAAATAATGAACAAAAAATAATACCCATTTCTTTTTGAGACTGAGTCTTATTATGCAGCCCATGTTGGCTGGCCTGTAACTCACATTGATCCTCCTGCCTCAGCCTCCCAAGTGCTAGAATTACAAGTGTGTGGTACCACACCAGGCCCCCTCACCCCCAAAAGCCACAGTTTGCTGGGAGCTAAAGCTGGACATCGATCATACATGGGAGGGCAGGAGAAGGCCTGAGTGCCTAAAGCAGTCAAGCTACTTTGGTCTTGAGAAAAACATACTGTTGGGACAATTTTGGCTATTAGTTGCTAGGCAACCTTGTGACTCATGATACTAACTTTGTAAAGGTTTAAATAAATGCCCCTACTGTTGTTCTATGGGTCCTCTGCCAATGAAGCAAACAGGCTATCACCTGACCCCAGCTATTATTGTGTCTTTCTTTTCTTTCTTTTTTTTTTGTTCCTCGAATGCCTTCAGGGCACTTTTGGCCAGGGGGAAGAGGTGTGAGGTTCGAACTCCAGCAACCTGAGGCTGACAGCTTTGTGGAAGCAGCCACTTAAAGGCCTGAGCTAGGGCCAGGCCCCCTGTGTCTTTATTTTCTAAATCCTCTTGCAATTTTCTCCCAGGGATCACCAAGACACCAATCAATCCCCACAATGGTCAATCTAGATAGGGCACACACGTAGCAATTCTTAATGCTCCAAGTTGTCTACTTTAAAGCAATTTAAATTTTCTATCCACTAATAACACAATATCCAGCAGACTAATGTAAAAATACAAGGGAGGCACTTTTGGATTTGATGAAGGAAAATAATATTTTTCAATGGAGAGAATTATGCTGTTATCAAACCTGAACACTTCGAAGAAGGTCTGTGATAATTTCTGCAGCATGCTGACATCGATCTGGAGGTCCAGTTATTTGAGCTATCCTATCAGGTGTTGTTCCATCATCTTCAAAATGAACAAAGTGAATTAATTAAATAGTAAATGTGTATCAAAACTTATTACTACAAATATTTTACAAGATCAAATATATGTACCAACCTGGCTTAAACTGAATTCGAACACCAGCATCATTTTGTATTTTTTTAATCATCTCTCCATTTCTTCCTATTACAATGCCAACAGCAAATCTTGGGATGGGGACCTTATGCAAATAAGACCAACTATTAAGAAAGCTTTGTTCCAAAATGTAATCTATTACCACATCATATATTTACAATGCTACACTTGTATCAGGGGTTTTTTTTTTTTTGTTTGTTTTGTCAGAACCAGGGATTGAACTCAGGCCCTTGCACTTGCCAGGCAAGCACTTATTCTACTACACTTGTATCAAATAGAGAAACATGATAAAAACATTCCAAAACAACAAAAGTTAAGACTCTCTCCTCCCCACAGGAAAAATATTATCACATTTACACATTAGCAACAGCCACTTGGTTGGGTGTTTTACTTACATCTATCCCTTCATTGCCTCCTATTCTTGACCCATACTCATTTCGAACTTCTCTGAAACCACCTTGATCACGAATTAACTCCAACACCATTTCCTTCGCTTGCTAAGGTAGAAAAAGTCCATTTATAAAGCATGCCATACAACCTCTTTAGTTATCCATGTTTGTTTGCCCAAATACATCCAACCCCTTTACGAAGGATAAAGTGAAGTTTACTTGAACTTTGTATGGGTCGCCTGTAATCCTAAGAGGTTTGTCAGCACCAGTGTTCTGAGGCCCATCTTGAATCATAACCATTTTAACTCCAGCCCGTTCCTGTTAAAATTGTAAAAATCACGTATTAACAAAATGAGACAGGAAAAATGGATTCAAAATAGATTAAAATTGATCATTATATAATACCTGCAGTTGTTTAATAGTCTCTCCCCCCTTTCCAATAACTAATCCTGCCTTGCTAGCTGGAATCATGATTTCTTGAACTGCATTTCCAGGTCCATCACCATGATGAAACCCGGGGGCTGGTCGGCCTTTTTCAACAATCTGGTCCAGTAACCGTTTTGCTGATCTGTTGACAACATTCAAAGGACACAGTTTTAAAATACCAAGCTTAGTCATCCTCCTTTCTGGGCTTCTGAGTAGCTGCTTACAACTAGTTTAAACAGTACTCTCGGTATGTAACTGGCTCTGTGGAGCAAATGGATAGGACGCTGGACTTCTAGCAGAGCCCTGGAGTGATCATTGCCAATGCTTTTACATTTAGCCACAAGAAAATGTCATCAGGGACCCAAACCTGAGATCATGCAATACATTTTCTAGGTATACAATTTTTTTTTGAGACAGGGTCTCACTATGTAGTGCAAGTTGTCCTTGACTCCATGGCAATCCTGTCAGAAGGGACAACTTATTTGTGGATAAACAGGGTACAAGAGAAAAAGTGTCAGAAGTTTCTATACATTGACATGACACGAATAAAGTTCATAAAAGAGAAAGTAGTTTGGGAATGATAGAAATCAAGGATTTTGTCTTTAAATGATCTACACTGGGAGATATCTGGACATGGAAATACGGTTCAGCAGTACAGAGCAGCCTCAACGTGTGAGACACCAAGTTCAATCTCCACCACCACAAAAAGGAAGCTGGATATCTAATACATTCAACGGGAGGTACTAGGCAAGCAAATACCTGGACATGGATTAAGAAATAATCTATGACCTTGCGAAGAGAAATTTCAATGGATTGATGAGAAGAAAAAAGCCTAAATGAATTCAAGAGGAAATGAACACATCAGATGATGTGTACCACTTTTTAGCAGAAATTTTACTGGGCATATAACTAAAACGTGAGATTCAAAGATGGCTTGTTGGGCTGGTGAGATGGCTCAGTGGTCTAAAGCACCTACTTAGAACAAGCTTAGCAAAGCACAGGGACCGTGGTTCAATCCCCCAGCACCACATGCCGGCCAGCCCCGCCCCCTGGTGGGCTGAGCTGGCCACACACACACACACACACACAAAAATAAATAAGTAAATAAATAAAAAACAAAAAACAAAGATGGCTTGTTATGATCGATGATCAAACATGTTTATATAATATTAGAAATTACCTATAAAAGACTGAAAATTAGTAATAGAAAATTTAATTGCAGGAATGTCCTATTGGAGTAGGAAGGGCTGGCCCTAAACATGTAAGTACAGGAAATTGATACATCCAAGTTCCATGGGTAAAGAGAACAAATGAAACACATTTTAGTGATGTTGAAGGTGAAAGTTTATGTCTTTCTTCTATTTTCAGTAAATAAGGTGGGAAAAAGGTTAAATGCTAAAGATTCAGAAATGGGAAGGTAATAATTATTAATTTATATTTTTATAGTTCAGATGAAGAAAGCTGAAAATACATCAAAAGCTGAAAATTGTTCAATAATGGGGATAAGAGGACAATGATGTACAAGCCATAATGAAGAGCAAATTCAGAGTCTTTTTGTTAGTCCTATTAAGTAAACTTTGAAGATTTTCATACTTACTGGACAGATTCAGGTGTTCCAGTTAACATACACGACCTTTCTGGAAGGCCACCGCTATCTACAATAAAGAGAGAATTCTGATCAAGAAAAATTTAACAATTAGCACCGTGATCATTTGCAATTTATAAAATAACCACTTTCAAAATATCAAGAGAATGTTACCAGGAGCGATCTGTATTTTGCATCCAGATTCCTGTTGAATGCGTGAGATCTGTTCACCTCCTCTGCCAATTACTAGTTCAAGAAAAAAGAGAAAAGATTTGCTGAAAGATTATGACGCATACTTTGATTACACTTTCAAAACTTTCAAAACAGTTACTTACTAAAGCCAACCATTCCATCTGGAACTTTGTATTCTTCTGTCATCACAGATCTGCTAAAAAATAATAGAAACATTTTCACTCTAAGAAAGGTAATTTGCATATAATCTAAGCAATGGAAGTCTCCTAGCTTGATCTGAGGTAGGAGGCATATCATATCCATGCCCAAGATATGCTTTTATTACTTAAAGAGTTAAATTATGAATTTCAAAAAGGGGAGCACAGATGGTGCATTAAACAGACTCACAGCACAGGCTGCAAAGCCATATTCAGGGAATGTCATCATTAACTATTACTGTAACTGACCATAGTTCTTCCAAAATGTGGCTAATTTCGTTTTCCAAATTACTAATGTATTTCACTCAAAAATAAAAATGCATCATCTCCTCAAATGTAGAAAATCAATTACACACAAAAAATGGCAACACATTCACTATATAACTTGGTTATATGCATACATATCCTCCAATAAACCTCGGAAAACACTTCTGAAAACAACTTTTGACTGTACCTTTGCTGCTGGTGCATCGGTGGTAACTGTGATCCAAAAGCTACCGAAAATTAAAGTAAAAAATGAAAATTTAGGCTTATATATTTAACAACACAAGCATTCTAACCAAGCATTCTAACATCTTTTCCTGAGGCATGGAAAATTTGAAGAGATTAAACTTTTAGAGTAGCAAGGAAGCCAGTGAAAACAAATATACGATATGATAGCTTTTATTTTATTTTTATTTTTTGTACTGGGGATCAAACTCAGGACCTTGCACTTGCCAGGCAGGCACCGGAACTATCTCCCCAGCCCTTAAGCAAATACATTGTCAATGGCATAGGACAAAGCACTTTCAAATGGTAAAAGCATAAGAACTAAAGTAAGTAAAAAGAATGTGCAGTAATTCAGGAGTCAATCTTTACATATGCCCAACTATAAAATTAAAAGCAATTTTTTTTTTAATTTTAGAAGAACAAAAGAGTGTATATGTATTTATAACAAAGTTCAGGCAGGTGTGGTAGCACATGTCTGTCATCCTAGTCCATGGTCGGATGAGGGAAGAAAACTCCTGCAAGTTCCATACCAGTCTGGACTACACATCAAGTATGAACTTCAACCACCTTACCAATACTAGGAACAAAACCTCAACGCTAAAATTCTGTTACTTAACTTTTTTTTTTTTTTTTTATGTTGAGTTTATATCTTGTTACTTAACTTTTAACACAGCTTAAAATACTTACAGTCATTTTGAGGGGCAACTTTCTTAGCATCTGGTTGATCTGCAAAATTAAGATTTTTTTAATGTTTCTGCCAGTAAATACAGAGCTTCCCCCACTCAAGCAAGATTATCAACAAAAACATGTATAAAAGTATCTGAAATGATTTAATCACTTGAACCAAAATTGCCAAAACTTTCAACCCCGACTCATAACCTAAAGGAAAAACTATTTTTTTTTCTCATTCTGGTCCTATTTAAAAGACACACACTTAAAAAATTCTCTTCGTATCAAATCACTGATCTTAATGGGCATTAAGCATTTTAGGATGATACAAGGCAAACTATTTAGCTTCATTACTAGGAAAGTATTGCAAACAAAGGCTAATGATGCTTCCACTGTGGCACCTAGGACATATGGCGAGGGGCCTAGCAAAATGTAAAACTTTGGCATGTAAAAAGCTGAATGTATCTGACCGTGACCATAAAACTATACAAAAATCTTAAAAAAAAAACAAAAAACCCCATACAGGACAGTCTCAATCTACCCTGTTCTTTTATTCCTACATAAAACATTTTACTATGTAAAACTTCAGCAGAAAACACTCAAAGCAACTAAGTGACTATCTTAATCTAAATCCATTACACAGATGAATACAATGCATATCTTAGAACCTAAAATTGAAGTACTAAATTCTCCCCCCTTCAAACTTTAATGATTAAACATGATTGTTGTGAAGCAAAAATTCAGACACACATCCAAGAGGTATCTGTGTCTGTACGAATCCAATTGTTTATTTCACGTTTACATACTAAACACAGGTAATAAATAAAAATTCCTGCCTTTAAAAGGAGAGGGCATTCCCTCCCAGTGTGTTGTACTGCTCGGACTTGTCCAAGAGCCATCTACACATAAAATAAAAAGAATACATTACATACAACATCTGAAGCATCATTAGCTCATTTTTCTTCTTATATTAAAATCCTCACTGTAAATATGAAAGACAAATAAAAGGAAACCAAGTACTCCTGGATAAAAAGCTACAAATACATTGTACAGGCTTGGTCACAATCCTTGTTTTTTTTAAAAAGGGGGCAAAAAAGGTATGAAAATTCACACATCAAACCTAAAACAAAAATATGTGCACAGTTTTAAGTTCAGAAACTTCAACATTTTTTAAATACAAAGAACTGTTTTGTTTTAACCCGTTGTAACATAAATTTGAAACAAAGTGCTAAAATAAAAATGCTATAATCTGTAATAAAACACAATAGTGGCAAACTGTACCCTTTCAAGTAAAATCTAAAATAGCAACAATGAAAATAACACATAAAAGTTTGTTCATTAAACAAAATCCACCGAAGTATTTCCTAAACAAATGTAATTTTTGTTTTGTTTTCTGTATGATTAACAAGAAGTCTGTGCAAACTCTCAATACACTATCCTAAAAGAGGGAAAATAAGCTGTTTTTTTTACTAAGACAGAACTTCCAATTAACTCAAGTTTTACTTACCTTAGATAGATCTCCCCTCTTTTGTCCTTTTGAGGCTACTATAAGCCTTACAATTTTTAGGAACCTTATAATAAAAATGCTTGAAAAAATAAAAACATTGAAAGTCGCTACACGTAAACACTGTATAGAACAATGATAATCACTTATCGGTATAACTTACCTCCATCTTCTAAAGGCCTTTTTTGTCCCCCATAACCATAGTCATTTGAATTCAATGATGTACCAGCATCACCCCCAATTTTTGCTGCAATCTTAAGAAAACAAAAACACATTACCATTAAGGACAGCAAAACAAACTGGTACACAAATGTTCAATACTAAGTTTCCTCATTTATTTCCTAAATATAAGCTAAATACTACTTACATTTAAAAAAAAAATCACTTGACAGACTAAAAAAGTTCATTTTATTACTACCATTAAGTACCTCAAGGAGTCTGAATAATCACAGCCTAAACTTTACCCTCTGGTCATCCCTATATTAATCAATAATTAATTAGTAACCTTTAAATAAACTAATTTTGAAGAAAATCTAAATTTTCATTCTGTGTTTTCCAAGGTTCTTTCCCAAGAGCAATGCAAAGATGTGTGTGGGCATGGATGTGCAGGTACCTTCTGGGATTCTATTTAGGACATATATTAACATATATAGGTGGCCTGCATAGTATTTCCATCGCACAGTGGTTTCTAAGGCTCCATAAAGGAGAGTGAGGAGTTCTACAAAAATCAGGAGCAGAATCCTAATTCTGTCAAATTCACTTTACCTTCATTTGATTTTTTTTTACCTTTGAGAGTGGCAAATAGATGCTTGCATTCAACTAAACACATACCATTAAAAAAAAAAAAGTTTCAAGCCACAAATTGAGCTCAACCAGTGAAAATTTCTATTTTTTCTATGAAAAGGGAAATAGAATGTTACCAACAAGGACCAACCTCTGTACTGTTTTATATTCTCTATCAAAGACGTATGATGGAGTCATGAAAGCTCATTACAACTTTCAACTTTAAGTGTCTGAACTCATCCATGTTAAAAAACAAAACAAAAAAACCCCTGAAATTAGCCAGGCACAGTGGCCCATACTTGTAATCCCAGCACTCAGGAGACTGAGGCAGAAGGACTACAATAACACCAGCTAGGACTACTCAGAAGACCCTGCCTCAAAATGACCAAATAAAACTTGTAGTGACTGTAACCCCAACTTGTTATTTCACACTTTTAATATAACCAGGAAACTGAAGAGGGTAAGAATATAGTTTGACTTCAAATCTTAAATGTGTGTATGCTGAATTACTTAAATCCAGTCAGTATGTGTCAGACCTCATACACCAATTATATTTCTAAAATTCTTAGATTTCCGTTTCCTTCATCTGCAAATGTAAACAGGTACCACACAAAGCATTTACTGAACTGCTTGATTAAAAAAAGGTACATGATTTAATTTTCTTGAGTATATTTATTTGCTGAATTTAACCTTTCTTAACTGTCTTTAAATGTAAATCCACTTTGTCAATTACCTTATTTTCATCTTTGGGCATGCAATTCAACCTTGTATCTTTCTCCCTAATCATGGCTGAAAGTACTACTTTTCACCCTAGACCTCAAAATACATATTTAGCACTTTAATTGTTCCCTAGCAATTTAAAAAACACTGCCTAGGGCTGGGTATGGTGCCCCAAGCCTGTAATCCCCGCAATCTATAGGCTGAAACAGGAGGAGCCAGAGTTCAAGACCAGGCTAAACTACACACAGTAAGACTGTCTGAAAATGCCTGGAATTGACAGGTATGGGTATGAAAAATATTTCAGGCTGTAACTATCTTCTGCAGTTAACTTTCATAAACGCTCTATGTAGAACTACACTCTTACAATTCCAAGGAACTTCCCCAGAGAAAGGATACATACTTACACTTATTTAACAGTTCTAAAACTACCCAACTGAATGATACTGAGCTCATTCAAAAGACAGTATTTCAAAAACTAAGAACTGACAAAAAGACAGTTACAATAAAAACACAAATTTGATTATTCTCCAGCATCAGTAGAAAATAATGTTCTAGGTTACTATAAATAAGATTCATTTAAAAGAAAATTCCTTAAAAAAATCAACTTCTCTGAATATTATTAGACATGCATTTGAGGGTGGTTATCTACAAAAACAAAACTTTCCATTTGGACCTTGTTCTACTTCTTGAATGAGTAAATTTTTTTTGTGCCTTCCTTTTCTTTCTTTTGTTAGCATTTTTCATCTTCATTGACTATTCCTCAAGTCCAGGATTTCTGGACTTGAAATAGCCATACCATTTGATAGAAGTTTTCCTTTCCTTAACAGAGCTAACTATCAGAATGTAATTAAGACCCAAATGCCAAAAGTCTATTAGACTATTTTCTAATATTTTGTTCACCCTAAGTTTCCAATGGGGTGTGTGTATTATGAATGATTCCGTTTTGTACATATTACCTTTGGTCCTTGCCAAATTTTCTTAAGCATTCTGTGCCTCAACTACCGCATCTGTGCAAATGGGGATAATAGTTTCTAAACCTACATTGTAGGATGGCTGTGGCAAATGAATTTTCAAGACATATTACACAGCCCAATATCTTTAAGAAATTGCTAATTATAAACAAACCAGCACATTATACTGTGTATCATTCATCTCTAGAACATGGTCCACAAAATTTCAGATAAGTAAAAAAAAAAAAAAATTCAGATAAGTGTATTTGAAGGATTTTTCATCCTGATCAAAGATAAAGCTGCAATCTACTTGGAGGCCAATAAGTACATAAAGCTCTTTGTACTCCCAGGATCTGACATAGGCATGCATAAAGCATTTTTGAATTATAAACCTCAAACATTTTTCAGGTTTATTTTCAAAATAAAATTTCATCACTACTTAGCATGGTCTATCTACTTAGACTCATTTGTACCTTTTTTCATCAAACTTTCCACCATACTTCCCCCACTCAATACTGTGTTCTTGGATTCTGGTCATTCCAAACATCCCCATACCTTTGCACAGGTTGCTGCTTTTCTCTACTGGCCAAACTTTCATTTTCATTTCACTTCATTTTCATTTCACTGTGCCTTGCAAAAATGTCACCGGTCAGGGAGTTAGGGACCCCTTCCCTGGTATCCTGTACAGTGCCTGACACACAGCAGAAATGCTGTAAATGTTTACAGAACAAGTGGATGAATTAAATGCTCATATTATGCCTATTTTTATTAAAGCATTTATCTGCTTATTCTGTTCATTTCCATTTGCTTCCCTGTCTGTATCACAGGTTCCTAGAAAGTCAGAATCCAATTCACGTTTAAAAAACTCCAGTGTCTAAGTCTGGTGTCTGGCACTAAATTAAATATGCCAGTTTAATAATAAAACTGGTAGGTTTTCCAACTCAACTTCCTGTCAGTTCCATGAATGTTTTCATAGCTACTACTGTATGTTCAAAAGCTTTAAAAAGGTGGAAATAGAGAACTAGTATTAATGATGACCTTTTGTGACTATTTTGGAATAGAATCAAGACCAGGTTCATTTTTCTAATATGTGAACACATTAGAAAAATAGTGAGCAGACATTACTACAGATTCAATCAATTTTTATTTCTGGTTTACTGATACTTTAATTGTGCGAGGGCTGTGTTAAAGGACGTGGACTCCTAAAATAATTAAAATTGGCTTTTAATCACCATTTGCTTAAAATACCTAGCACCCAATACAACATGCAACGTCTACAATATGCAGTGTCACAAAGAGAATTAAAGAGTTTTTTACTTTCTCTCACTACAAGTCCATACCAAACTCATACATTTTAAAACTAAATGTTATCGAAGAACTGCCTTAAAAAGGTTAAGTTCGAATTAAGGCATCTTTCCACTCTCTGAAGTACTCGCACCTTTTTTTATGCTTATTTTAAAGAGCCCCATCTGGGAAAGACGTGCCTTCAGGGTAAATCCAGGCACGCACGCAGTACAAAGAGGGCCGGTCGGTTCACGACTCGCAACACCGAGACGCAAATTCAAACTCAGCCTCGGGTATAATGGGCCTGAGGCCATTTTGAGGGGAAAAAAACGGGGGAAGGACCGGCCGAAACGCTCCGGCATCCCGCCCAGGGAAGGCCTCTCGCCGGCGGACGCGGCCCAGGCTGCTCGGACGGCCGGGGTTGGGGTCAAAGAGCCGGACGCAGGAGGCCGCCCGCTCGACCCGCAAAAACCTGCCCTTCCCACGGCTCCCGGAGGCTCACACCAGTCCTTCGAGCCCAGTGCCAGGACCTTCCTCAATCCTGTGGAGTCCCACGCCCGCGGGCGAGGGGCGCCGGCCAACTTCCGGGACGGGCGCTGATGCTCAGGAGCGGCGGGAGACTTAGGCCGTCTTCCGAGCAGCACGCGCGGCGGGCCCCACACGGAGCGCACAAGCCCGAGTTCTACTTCCTAGCCGCTACCACCAACGTGGGGAAACGTGACTCCGCTCCCATGTCGGCCCGGAAGGGCACCTCGTTCTTCCTCAGGCGCTAGGAGGAAGCGGCCTACAAGGCCGGCGGCCAATTACCGTGAGCTTTCGGGAGCCCGCCGCGCGGTCCCCACTTACCTGCCGGGCTCTCTGTAGCGCATCTTTGAAAGCATCGTTAACTCCTCCACCACCGCCGCCGCCGCCACCACCACCGGCGGAGCCAGAGGAAGGTGGAGGCACTGTTGAATAGTCAGCCATGGCCGAATTATGGGAGCCGCTGCGGCTTCACGGGTCTCCTTCCAGCTAACTGCTAAGAAAGGAAGAAAATGGCGGCCGTCGAGGTTCTATCACATTCTTGTGCGACCATCGTGCCGTAAAGAGGCGGAGATTGAGAGAGGGAAATCCCGCGATGTTTCTGAGGCAACGCGTTGCTGGGGGGGTGGGGCTGAGAAAGAAGGAGCGGTGGGAAGTTTCGCGAGAGTTGAGTTTAACAGCCCGCGAGAATAGGGTTGATCTTGGCGCGTCCTCTCCGCGCTTGGTTGGGGTGAGGCTGGGTAATAGTCCTTTTGGGCTTGAGGGGTTGAGGCCCGAGCGGCAATTGCGTTTGGCGTTGAGTTGCAGAAAGCTTGAAGAAAAAGGAGTGATTGTTTTTTACCGGTCGCGGTCTCGGGAAGGGTGTTCTGCGCAGGCCTTTCTCCGTAGCCATGGGGAAGGGCGGGACGCTGACGGGGTGACGACAGCGCGACTGTCGCGAGGGCGCCGCGGTCGGAGAAGCGCGCCGGACACCGCGCGGGACGCTCCCGAAAACGTCCTCCCGGCCTAGTGGGAACCCGGCTGGTGTCCAGGGTAGTAAAGTGCCCCTGTATTTTACTTCTGCCCGATTATTTTAATTTTTAATCACAAGTGGGAATGGAGTTAGGCTAGCGGCGTCTTAGTTCCAAGTTTTTGTTTAAAATGGGGATGTGCTGGCTGTACCAGTGTGACCGCCTATGGAAGACGCGATTGTTCGTCCAGCTCAGGTTGCGGAAGATACTGTGTGTCCCTCGCTAGCTTTAGGGATGTCCTTATAAGAAGCACATCCTTTTCTTGACCAAAGCTAACTGTTCCTTAGTTTTCCTGTGCACCTGTGGGTTCTCAAATACAAGGGATTGATCTAAATTATCATCCCCAGACTAAGTGATTTTGTGGACGATTTCTGTTAATTACTGTGGTTATCGAATAATTCCTCACTGAGCATTTTATGTAAATCTGGATTGGCAGTAGTAGTTCCAGGAACGAGATTTAAGTGTACTACAGTAAGACCACCGCCCCTCACGTTCTTTCCATGAACTTTCTAAACTCTGGCAGTTTTGTCTTCTGTGAATTGTTCTAAAAAATGCTTCACCCGTTACTAGTCGTGAGACATGTTCCAGTCTTCTACAATGTCTACTTGTTTTAAACCCAAAGTGAGATAGTAATTCCAATGCTTGTAGATACAAATGAACCATGATTTTCTGTTAACCAGCTTAAATTACCTCTTTATAGCTCTGGTCATTTGTTTTTTTGGTATTCTTACATGTCCTTCTGTGGAAATTGTATTTGGAAAAGCAGTCAGTATATCAGGCTACAGATTTAATTGTAGCAGTATTTAGAAACATTGTAAAGTAAGTGTTGGTGGGAGTGCTAAATGGAAATTTTTCAGTTATATTTTTATTTTGAGAGTCTACCCAACAGATGGCATTTATTAACTAGCAGTTGATTTTTAAAAATATTTTATTAGACTTCACCTTTCAGACTTTTGAGCAACGTAAATCACCACCTTGATAGAATTTACCACCAAACTTTTAAGTATTGTACCTTACTTTAGATTTCTCTGAATATTGAAAGTAGTGATTTGCATTTCTAGTTTTTTTTGGTTGTTGTTGGTATATGTATTATTTATTTAATGCATTTGGTACAGGATCTCACTACACAGGACTCTTAGTGGTCCCCCTGTTTTCAGCTTCTCCAGCACTGGGATCTCAGGTGTGTGTCACAGCGCCTGGTCTAGGTGGTTGGCTCAGTGCGCCCAGCGGTGGGGCCAGGGATCCATCCAGTCCCTGCGCTTACCTAAGCAGGTGCTTAGTCCACTGAGCTATCTTGCTGGCCCTGTTGTCAGCTTTTGAAAAAAATTTTTTTTGGTTGATTCCTCTGTAAGTATGGACATTCTGGGATGTTTTACTGTGTCATTTTAATGTACTTAGCGGCATCCTTTCCTCTGCCTGCAGATCTCGACAGCACCCCTGCACTTACCACAGTTCGTGACAGGTGTCCTCAGTCATTGCACACAAGCTTTGGAGCAGAAAATTGCCTCTCGTTGAGGTTTCTGGCACTGTCAGAAACAGCTATTCACCATATTGCCAGTACCTGTTCTGAGTTTCATGCCTTTTCATGCCACTACTCCATCCTGAGATTATAGTACTAGCACTGCACTCCTGGGCTGTTTTTAAACTAGTACACATTTGTGTGACATGGTGATTGCATGTCTTGTTGTGTTCTAGTTAACCTGCTACCCTTCCGTGTCTACAATCTACTTTAAAAAATTATGAGCCAGGGACAGTGGTACAGGCCTGAAATCTCAGCTTTTGGGATGAGGAGGCAGGAGCATAGCTGTTCGATCCCCACAACACTCCAGCCATGCAAAAGTGCCCTGAAGGCATTCAAGAAAAAAAAAAAAAAAAAAACACCCAAAAAACAAACGCACACAAAAAATCACTCCAAACAATAAAATATTATGAAACAATATGGAAAAGTATATAGTATAGGGCCGGGGAGATGGCCCTGTGGCATAGGTGTGTGCCTGGCAAGTGCAAGGTCCAGAGTTTGATTCCTGGTCCTGAAAAAAAAAGCAGCATAAAGTTTTGAGTGACACCCATGTATCCACCCAAAGAGTATTCTCCAAGGGATACACCATTGTCAGTACTTTTAAAGGCTGAAACTTCTCTTCCTGATGGCATTACAGTGCATCATACAAAAGCTTAGCAATTAGTGTGAAAGCAAAGCAAATTTCGCTCTGCTGCACGATAAATTGTTTCCTACATGGGGTGGGGGGCAGATGGCTCTGTGGATTAAAGCACCTGTTAAGGCAGACCTGGTTAGATCCTGGAGTGCCCCCGGGGCGCTGAGATGGTGATTGAGACAGTGGAGTGGTGCACACCTTTAGTGCCTGTAGCGTGCCTGTAATCCCAGCAGTTAAGAGGCTGAAAACAGAATCACTATGAGTCTGATCTTGTAGTGAGGCCCTGTAGACCCTGTTCTAAATCCATTAAAAAAAAATTGTGTCCTACAGTGGCCTATGGGCCCCACATGGCAGGCCACTGTTCTCTGTTATTGCACTCAATGTATTTGTCCACCTTGCTGTCCAAGATCTTCCTTCTGCTTAGACTTCATGCTTGACCTTTTCCTCTCTAGGATGTGCCGCAGACGACCTACTTTTATTCAGGCCTTGCTTCAGGTGCTACTTCTTCAGGTCATTTTGCAGTCACTATCTGATTGCCATGTTTTCTTGATCCACTTTATCTGAAATTACCTTATGGTCTATGTGTTTACTTTTTTATGTCTCTCTTCCATTAAAATGTGAACTAGAGAGCGGGAATTTCTCTTATCCTTATCAGTCCCTACCACAGAGTCTTGGCACTGCAGGTATTTGTGAGTGAATAAATGCGAGTTCTGTTTTCTTAAAGCTAGGACAAGTGGTCTAGTCTTTTGTCTTAGATTTCTCATCCACTTAATGGTCGTAACTTGCCTTGTCATCCTCCAATACAGCACCTCAAGCTCTTCAAAGTGGAAAAAGTCCTATGCAAATGGGAATTGGTACTGCTAATGTAGGTGAATCATCTGGTATTTCATGATCAGGAAAAGGTATAGTATACTTGAGTTATGTGCAGGTAGTGAAACAAGATTCTGCAACATCAACTGAATTGTGCGAAAATAGTAACTAGTGGCTTTTTTTTTTGGCGGAACTGGGGATTGAACTCAGGCCCTTGTTCTTGCCAGGGAAATGCTTATTCCGCTGAGCCATCTCCCTGGCCCCTAACTAGTGGCTTCTAAACTAAATATGTGTTCCTAGTCCTTGGAATTTTTGTCAAAGCCATTTATATTCTGTTGGTACCTGAAGTTTAACATTAAAACTGGTCAAATCAAAACAAAACAAAAAGCTGGTCAAATCAAACCTCACGACTAAGTTTATTCCAGAGGATGTAGATTTAAGTGACCTACATGCACTTTGGTAAATCACAAGTTCTTTATTTTACCAGCATGTTATGAAAAGAGGGCAGTTTAATCTTCTGAAAAGTAGCCAAGAATAAAAGATAATGAATTTATTATTAAATAGCAGTTTCGGTTTCCTTTTAAGTAGCTGCTGTAGTATCTCCCTCTGGGTTATCAAGAATTTCTTGAGTGCCAAGTTTGTGCTGTCTTGCTTATGACAGTTGATTTACCCTGAATCCAGTGCATTACCACCCTTACTTTTCCCACCTGTTCACAATGGTAGAGTCTCTAGGCCTTCTTTTCTACGTCTTTGTAATGAACTGACCTCTCCTGTTTTGCTGTTGAATGGCAATGAACAGTTTTTTCCAGAAAGCCTTTCTAGAACTCCAGCTTGGGTCTCCTTTTGTTCTCATGTACCATAGGATGACAATAATGCACAGTATTTGTTGTTCACTTAGAATTCCCACGAGAATAGAAGATCCATGACAGTAAAAGCTGTGCCTTTTGTCTTCAATGGGTGTAACCCACGGAAACATCATAGGCACTTGTTCTCATAACAGGCTTTATGATATCAGTGTTAATACTTCCGTCTTGCTAAAGTGAGGAGATATTCACTTGCCCAGGGTCAAATGTTAATGTTGGAATTGTAGTTTGAACTCAGAAGCCTGATATAGAAGAATGGAATTATCCCTTAAGAGATAGATAATAATAATATATAGTAGTACCTTGGTTCGCAAAGTTAATGTAACCTATGATTTGGGGAAAGATGGCTGCACTAGTGTTTGCCTGGGAAAGATGGCCACAGTCATGTTTGTCATCCAATGCAGAATTTGTGAACAAAAACAAAGTTTGGCCAAATGCTTCTGTTTGTAAATCAAATTATTTGCGAACATAGAAGTTTGTGAACCGAAATACAATTTATCTCTTTGTAATTTCTAGGGTATGGTTCACAACTTAACATATTTCCTTTGAATTTTAAAAATATTTACATTACTTTTTATCAACACTTAGACCAAAATGTTTTATGAGAAGGCAGATCCCTCCATCCCTCTCTCTTTCCCTCCCTCCCTCCCCGCCTTTCCCTTCCTCCCTCTCCCCTTCCCTCCCATACCTCTTTTATTTTCTTCTGTAATTG